GCTGGATCTTGCGGAACTTGGAGAGGTTGACATTGGACAGCTCCTCCTGTGAGAGAAGAAGAAATCAGGGCTCAGGAGCACAGGGCAGAGGTTTCATTCCTGCTGCAAGTCAGCCTTGTGGGGCTGCAAATCTCCATCCCCCTCCCACCACTGCTCACACAGAGCTCCTCATCCTCCCCTTTTCAGGAGCTTGCCCTTACTGGGACAAGCTTCACCAGGACTGTGTCACAAGTGAGGAGCAATTTCACCCCTTCAATTTATCATTTCTATATCTATCCTCTCACTACCTTGTGCCCAATTATCAGTGCAACTTACTGGGTTGGGAAGATCATGAAACCTTCTGCTGCTGATAATTAGCAGAGATTCAGGAACCTGTCAGTGGGTGTGGCCTCTGGGTTTGTTTACTCTGGCCTCCTGTATGAATGAGGCTGTAGAACTTCACTTAATGAATGTCCCTGACTGCAGGGTGCCCAGAGCTCCCCAAGGTCCCAACCCAGCATGGTTCTGTCTCAGGAGTTTCTTCCATACCCCTCTCCTGGTATTCAGCCTCACTCAATGTGCATCCTGCCCCAATGGAATGTGGCCTTTGCCTTTTCTCCAAGCAATACTCACAGCCTCCTCAGCTTGTCTCTTGTAGGATTTCACTTTCATTTGCAGCTTGTCCACCAGATCCTGCAGCCTGAGGACATTCTTCCTGTCTTCCTCAGACTAGAGTGTTTCACAAACAGGAAAGAGAGTCAGTTCTTGGTTCTGCATCACATGACGTTAACAATTCCCCTTGGGGACGGTGTGTACAAGATGTGACTCACTGTGGGAAAGCCCTGTGAGAGCAGAGTTCCTGCCTTACCTGGTAGGTGAGTTCCTTCACCCTCCGCTCGTACTTGCGCACGCCCTTCACGGCTTCAGCGCTGCGCTTCTGCTCAGCATCAACCTCCCCTTCCAGCTCCCGCACCTGCAAGGACAAGCCCATCCCTGCAGCTTCCCTGGCAATGTCTCTCCAAGGACACGCTCACTCAGGCACAGCCCCAGCCCTACACACCCTGGCCTCCAGCTTCTG